GCATAACTATTACAACTAAAATTTAATATTACAATTATATTATTTTCACACAATAGCAATTAGCAATATTGAAAGTATTGTGTGTGTCATTACTACTTTGCTTCAAAATAAGAAAAGAAAAATACCAATAATTACAACAGCATAGCATGCATGTGAAACATCTATCATAATAAGTTTCTTGTTTTGTCAATGAAAAAAAGTAAACCTTGTTGAAAATGATGAAAATCACGATTGACTACTGAATGAAAGAAAGGTCCAAAATCAGGATACCTCTGTCTAAACAACCGATCCCTTTCTTCAATTAAATGAACCTGCCCTTGAAGAGGATCAATCCCAAACCCACTAAAGTAAGTTAAATTAGAACCAAGTGACTCCATCTCACGAACTGCATCTTCAGTCTCAGGAAGTACAGATGGCTGCACATAAGCCGTCATATTTGCTCGTCTCATTATCTCATTAGGTGTACCATTTTTGCGTCCTACAACAACAGAAACATAAACATAAGCTTGACAGTAAAGGACACCAGACTAATACAGTCAGCGGTATATTAGTCACCTTTACTTACCACGTAATGTATGCTGATTCCAAGATTCTATCGCTATTATAGTTCCAATGTTTGCAACCCGTATGGAAAACCATGAAACACAAAACTTGATTAAACTGTCATCCATAGGAATCAATCCTTTTTCTTCCATGTCTATAAGGCATGCCTTGATGGGATAGTTGACCCTGTTGTTGATTTCTACCCATATTCTCTCCACTGGATGATTCTAGTGTGATATAATTATAGTTAGTTACAATTTATTGACCTTTCTTTGTAATTTGTAATCATGTAGTGATTTCATTCAACAGAGTACATTCAATCATAGGCAGCAGCACGGTCAAGCATGGATTAGTCTGGTCACGAGGGGCGTGACCAGACTAAGCATGGATGGGCAAAAATATAAGACATTCATTTTATAGTTAACCACATTCTACCTTCAAAAATAGTACTGGTAGCAGCACTGTTGTGAAGAGGATATCTCAAAAAACATTTAAATAATTATAATTATAACCTTTATTTCTACTTTTTGCATCTTTAAAACATTATTTCAAGTACATGCAGTTACATGAAAGTACATGCAGAGAGGGTATAAAAGTAGATACATGAGAAATTTATTAAACTATGTGGATGCATGGTCAACATTAGATTCATGATGCAATGATTGTCTTCTACAATTTTTCTGCATCAGGCTACACCATTTTGCTTAAATTTATATTCTGCCACTGCCTATGCATTAAATCTGGTTTGTATGAAATGGGCAGTCCAGTGTGTGCTATTACCAATTTGGATGTTGTTTGGAGATGTGGAGCACGTTGTGTGTTGTACCGTAGGTGTGCTAATTTTTCTTGGATAAAAAAAGGATTAGCTGCCACTCTTTTCCATGGTCAACTCGGATCTGATCCCACAAGCCATACTTAAGAACCATAGGTCTATTGCAAGGACAAATAAAATCATTACAAAAAGTAAGAGTTATACACTGTACTTGTAAAAATGTGTATAGATTTCAATACAATTCTTTATTGGTGATGTTATGAAAGCAACAATTTTTGTTGCTAAAACCATCAATGGCACAAATGTGAGTGACACCATACATGACCAATTTCTCATTTTGGTCAATGTGGACCTTGTGGCCAAAGTAGTCCGCACTATATGGAACAGGATTCAATGATCTTGTGGCAGCTTCAGTTCTGTCCCGGTGGTACACAGGATTGGCATGTCTAAGTGCTTGCCCCACTCTTGTCTCGCTTACACGAACTTCATGAGACCTCAAAAATCCAGTCATGGTTTTCCTTCCATATGAAGGACCAACCTAATGATACAAGTGAAATCATGCACCACATATTTTATAACAGGTAATTTGAAAGGGAAAATTTTGGGACAATTTTGATTTAATTGCCATTTGACAAAATGAAACCCACCAATTTGAACAATTATTATGTCTATGCTCAATTGGAATTTTTCAATACTTCAGCATACTTATAGTTATGTCCTTTTTAGTGTAACAATTGTACTTGCACTTAAGTAATGGGCTAGGTACTTCATGTGTCTTATAAGTGCTTTGAAATCTTTCTAATATAATGTATATTGTAAATAACATTAACACATCTGGTGTAATTACTATAATAAAATGCAGGTGCAAATGTGCATTGCTAGCCAATCTATCAGGCAGTAATTAATGTGCTAAAGTCTGATTCAAATAAGGTCACTCCAATGACATATATTTTATCCCATTACCCACCCACAATGCTTATTTTGTTTTATTGGTACACTATAATATACATTAATTTATACATCAAAATCACCTGCCTGTATCACTCCTATGCATGCATCAAAACTTGACTGGTGGTGGTTCAATATTTTTAATGATCATTTGAAAAATACAGTTCAAAATAAATTCAATCCAATATCATGAAATATTGGGAATATCAATACAGATTAGATACAATGTTTAATGTCACACTCATGGACTTGTGCCCCTTCTTTATGCTGTGATTCATACATTCTACTTGATTAACTCATTACAATACTTATTGAAATAATCTTTATAAATGTTACTTAACCTTGGGTATATTTACTATGTTATAAATGTATATACATATTCAAGTAACATTTCATTGATTATCATCAACCATTTATTGGGCAGAACACTTACTGGTAAAGTAGAATGCTAGGCTGTACATGTACTTCAGGGTCAAGTGAGGGGCCGACATTGCTGTGATTTCTAGTAAATTATTAATTGGGCGAAACCTATATACTGTATATGCCATATATTTTGCGGGTATACATTTTCACGATTTGGCTTAACTTTTGTATTTGCGAATGAAAATGTTGCAATTTTAATGTAATTACCACACCTACTATACAATCAGCATGCTATTTTGCAAATTTGTCCAAAACACAAAAATCACAAAAAAATTAATGCCCGTGAAATATGTAGTGTATCATTATGGTATACTGACTAATTAGTCTTTGTACACTTACGTAAGGGTGTGGTGAGGCATGCAGCCCATGGGCCCATTAGAAAGAAATATAGAATATGATTGATATTACTTACAGTTCTGACAGCTGCAGGGACAACTTGCTCTAAAGCCGCATCATCCAATCGATTGGTTCGGTGTATTCCCTTGTCAGCACAAAATCTCTCAATAGTACGAACACTGAAGCCTCTAATGCTTGGATACCTAAGTTTAAGAAACTGACTGAGACGATAATGCGTCCAATTTTCATTTATGATCTTGTCCTTTATGAAGTCCTCAATATCATGCAAAGAAATATTGGACGCCATTTTGTCAGTGTGGTGAAGCAGGGCCAGGGCTGGGCTGTGGCTATGCATAGATATTATGCCGTAACTATGGC